TAGAGAGATGACTGCTGCAAGAGACTAGAGAGTAGGCTCATATACCTCCCGAGATAGAATTATTCAGTCCAGACAGAGGAAGGCTTCAGATGGAACACCTACCTGAGCAGGCTGCTGAGCCTGCATTCTCCCCTCTGGTCATCACAATATAGTAGAAGTAATAGTTTTTCTCTGCAGATGTGTCTAGATTTAATAATTGTGTTTAGGCCCAATAAAGCCATTGTAAATTGAAAATATCATCAACAGGAAATGCACAGAGCACATCTCACCAGGCTGATCAGCACAGAGCATTGTGCAGTGCCACTGGGTCTTCAGGCAGGTGGCTGACAGGTAGTGTAGCTCACAGCACTGCCCAGCACCCCAGGAGAGAAGAGTGCAGTGCACATCACAAGCCCAGAAGAAGATCAGAATTCAAAATTGTGAGTGGGAGTTCATCTAAATTTATATTTTTACAGAATCACAGTATTGGAAAATCCTAATTGGAACCATAGTAAGCTAAGCCATTTGAGATTGAGGCTGTCTGTACATTCTTGGAAATTCTTGCATCATTCTTTTACAATGGAAGCCAAAACACTCAAAGGAGGCTGGATGGGGAGTAACATGGATTAATTCTACCCATTTGGAAAATATTAAAATGCACATGTATTTCTGATGTAGCAATTGAGGTCTGAGTGCTTTTCTAGTCTAATTAAATGATAGGTCATTTGAAATAACAGCAGGTACCTTATTGGTACTCTAAAAAGACCACCACAAAGAATATACTATTAACAAGAAAGATGAAGAAAAATAGTATAACTCAACAGTTTAATTCTCCTTTTAACCTCCTAAAATCTAACATTTTAGAATCATTCTTAGCCCCCTAGAGAGGCTCCTTTTCTCTAACTGCCCGTTGGAAATCCATTGCTGCACCTATCTCTGCAGACACAGTTTGGAACCTTAGAATCTGAGTGGGTTTATTATTTTTAGCTTTAACTGTCTAGTTTGCATGCTATTTCTCCTTATTAAATATATTTTTCTAATAAAAATGTATTCATAACTAGCTCTGGACTTTCAGGTCTTTCTTTAATTTTAGTTTGCAATGTTTTCTTTTCTTTCTTTCTTTTCTTTTTTGGAAGGAAACCTTAGAACCTCATTTAGTAAATTTAAATAAAGTTTGCAAAAGTATTGCCTGTATTAGTAGGTTACTACTTTGGAATATACTCTCACGCTAAAATATTTTTACAAGTATTTTGTATAGGAACAGGGCTCTTTCTGTTTCACTTTAATGAGTAGTATTTGCAATGCTAAGAACCTATTAAATACAATGTCATTTGCATACATAAATGTGGATAAGTTATTGACTTATCTTCTTTCATCCATTCCCATAGTCATTTAGTAAGCTTCCAGTGACAGTTTCAGTGATATTAAGGTGATATTTGTAAACTATAAGTTTTGAAACAACTACACAAGTTTTGATCAAAGTACTGAAATCCAATTTTCGGTACACCTTTAAGAAATATTATATTCCATGTGCTAAGACAGATATTTTAGTTTAAACAAGAAGTAACTTGTTTCACTGTCTTGTCACCTTGCTGAGATTGAAGAGTAGTCACTTCAGGGCTGTTAGGATTAGCACCCAAGGCTCTTACTTTTTTTTTTCTTTCCCACTTACCCCTGATTCTGTTAAAAACAGACCCTTAGCCAGCACTGTGTGACACACAAAGCCTCAGATTTGAAACAGCATCTGCCTTTGAGTCCCCATTGTTCTCTGTCAAAATCAGGGCTACCAAATTCAGTTGTTGTTCCTGTTATTTTTTGCACAGACTGCAGTTAGGCAGATTAATAATGTCTGTTTAGTGCAGCACCCAGATGCTCATACTCTTGCAGCCAGGGAAAGCATCAGTATGGGTGAGCTGACTACAGTGCTGTGACCAAAGACGAAGGGGTCACTGGTGTTACCTAATTCTGACCTGTGCAACCTCCACTGCTCAGGCTGGTCCTGACCTTAGCCTCACAGTTCATGCTTACTTCACTGCCTGCCCCATGAAGGAGAAAGAGTATCAGAACTTCATTCTCTCCACGGGTTCCTCACCCATTAAACCAAGGTAGTGTTTGTTATCCAGGAATGACTGGCAATGAGAAAGAAGCAGGGCTCACTCCAACTTGCTCCTCTTTCTTAATTCCTGTAAATTCTTCATTGGTCCACTCATGGGTCACTCCTTCTGGGATGCCCCTCCCATTGCTTAGTATGTTTGATAACATATATGTCATGTATGATGGAAACTTCTCTGAGGGGGGTGTGGTGTGGGAGACTGAGTTTCTTTTCAAAGATTTCCATTGCAAATTTTCACTCTTTATGGGGCTATTACATAAAACTCAATTCCTGTCAGCCTAAAGTCCTTCATCTCTTGGAAAAGAATGATGAACTGCACTATGTTACTGCACAGGACTAAAAGCAATGCATTACTAGAGCAGAAAGTGTAGTTTAGTGGACTGTTTTCCTATCATTCCTGAGCCCCATAGATTTCATCTCTAGCACCACAAAAACAAATAAATGGAGGGATAAATAGATGATAGATAGGTAAATGTTTTAAGGCAAGAATCAATAAACTGTTTTGCTAAAAACCATATGCATGATATTTAGTAGTAACAATTATATGAATCTCATTACAACTATAAAAAGGTCATGTCCAAACTCAGTATCTCGGTATAATGTTAATTTACATGAGTTTGAGGAAAACAAGGGACAGCCTTCTGAGAAGTAGTGCATAGAATGACATTCAGAGTGGGAATTGGGAAGGATCTGCCCTTTGGTGATGCTTTCATGCCAGGAGCCTCTCTGAGGCACAGGGTGATGTGAGAAAACTGTATTAATTGACCATAAAATGGTAAGATACATGGAAAATTTAGCAAGGTTGAATATGTGTGTGTGTTTGTGTGTGTGTGTAAATTGATGCAAACCTTTTTTTTTTTTTTTTTTTTTTTTTTGTTCCAAAGATTGAACTCATGACCTTGCACTTGCCAGACAGGTGCTTGCACCACTGAGGTAAAGCCCTGGCCTGTTTTTTTTTTTTTTTTTTTTTTTTTTTGTTTGTTTGTTTGTTTGTTTTTCCTTTTTGGTACCAGGAATCAAACTCAGGATCTTGCGTTTGCTGGGCAGCTACTGTGCCACTGAGCTATATCCCTGGCCCCATCAATGTTGTTTATAACATGTGCCTGGGGATTGATACACCAACAGTCAATAGGAAATCCAGAGTGGTAAATGCAAGTTCCTCCCTTTAGCAGGCTAAGGCAAGCTATGGAGCTCCATGTTTGTGTGTTTTGGTACCAGGGATCAAACTCATGACCTCATGCTTGCCAAGCAGGCACTTAAGCTGCTGAGCTAAACCCCCAGCAAGTTCCTCCCTTTAGGTTGCAGGGAATCTTAAAAATCTTTACACCATGCAAACAAATAAGAAATCACCGATTCCATCACCTCTTCTTTTATGTATAGGAATCACTGACACAAACACAGGAATTTTAAAAACAACAAAAATCCCATGAGAAGAAGCCATCTAGGTTAGCAAAGGAATGGGCAACCAATGATCACAGCCTCCAATCTGTGCTAAGTGGGAAACTCACCAGGTTTAGAGCTGATCAAGTGGGGAGCTGGCCAAGTGAGCCAACTAAAATCAGTCTTTGTTTGGATGAAGAGAAATGGCTAGCACCTGTGACAAACATATGGGATGAAACCCTAGACTTGACTCTCAGGGAGCTCTTTCTGCCAGCCCACTTCTTACACAGAGCTGTGCTGTAGGAACAGTGGCAGTGGTGGAACTTACCTTCTCCGTCTGAGACACTTTCTGGGTATCACGGGAATTACTGTATCAGGGGCCTAAAATCAGAACTAGCAGGTGTTTTTTGGGTAATACAAATGTCAGACATGGTTCCGGATATCCCAGGCTCCCAGATGTTGGAAAATATAATTCAGATTATGGACAAGTCTTTGAAAATGGATTCCATTAAGTGGACAAGGGTCACTTTGGCCATTTAAAAAAGGAAATGGCATTTTACTTATCTGGTGTTGATTGCACATGGGCAGGCAGATTGATCTGTAAATCATGGGTTTGGAAGGAAGGGAGAGGTAACTCAAAACTGAAGCCAGCATATTGGGGTGCTAACAGCCCATTTTAAACATGAAATTTGACCAGGATGAGGAAACAACTCTGGAACTGGGCAGGGGTAAAGTTTGTGTGACAACACAAATGTGCTTAGTGTCATTGAATTAAATATATTAACATGGTTAATATTTATGTTATGTATATTTTACTCCAATTAAAAAAGAAAGATGATCTGTAATCCTTTGGATCACATGTGTAGAAAAAGTAGTTTTCCAGAAATGATTCATTCCAGTGAAGGCTGCAAAGCTTATTTTTAGTGGACCAAATATTTCCTGGGTTGTGTGTTCCTTCACATAATCTAGACAAAGACATGCGAAAATGAGCTACAGATAAGCCTGAGTTGTGATGTCTCCCTCCTGTAACAATAAGCCACAGTAGAGTTGAAGAGAGAGGGCTATAGAAATTGCATTAGGTTTGAAACAGGACAACCTTGGAATTGCATCTCAGACCTGTTACCAAGTACGTGGATGATTTGGAGATGTCTTTACTTCCCCCTTTCTCTGGCTAGAGTCCAGTTTTATTGAATCTGTAAAGTACTTAAAAGTATAATGGAAAGTCATTGTACACTGACTGGACTAAAATAATGACAACTACTACTACTTCAAAATTCCTCCTTCCAAGAGATCATCAGTCATCGCGGGGTCCACAGGGATTAGGAACACTTGGAATACTGGACCTTCATTAGATTATTAACGCTATGAAACTTCCAGGTGTTATGTATTGAGGCTTGCTGGGATTGCTTTATGTGTGAATTGTGGCTGGTGGTCCAGGGCGGGGGAGAGGCGATTCTTAAAGGATGCTGTGGGTTTCTGCTGTGCTCCTTTCCACCTCGGCCCTGACCAGGTCTGTTCCTCCCTGTAGACCTTCGCGGGAAACATGAACGCGGACAGCGTGGTGCACCACAAGCTGCTGCACTCGGTGAGGGCCCGCTTTGTCCGCTTCGTGCCTCTGGAGTGGAACCCGAGTGGCAAGATTGGCATGCGGGTGGAGGTATACGGCTGCTCCTACAGTGAGTACTCGCGCGTGTCTCTGAGTGTCACAGACCCAGGACATCGCTGTGCCTGCCCTGAGAAAGCAAATTATTGTGTGCCATTGTTCCTATTCTTTCTGTAGTATGTATACTTCAACCCAGAATAAGACACCAACACTTCGGTTTGGGGCTTAGGGAATTTGAAGACAATAACGTAGCAGAAGGCTCAACCCAAAGTCCAGCATTAAGAGCTCTTGAGGTTGGCGAACTTCTGTCATTTGCAGTAAAAGAGCTTGTTAGTTTCAGTCTCCCCACCTCAGAAATGAGATGAGTTGTTATAAAGGTTTTCCTACCCTAGAACCAATAAAGGATATCATTCTTCTTTACTTGTTCCAGAAGGAAAGGAGGATTTTCATGCACGGTACCTCACAGATTGCTTCTCTTCTAGATTTACAATATACGTCTGTTGCTTCCTGAGTTGTTTATGCTGAATTTGAAAGTAGAGCTCCATCTTGCACCCACAGAAAGCTGGAAACATGGGTGGAATTGGTAATCACTGCAGAAGGTCAGAATCATCCAGGGAAGTTTCCTGTCCCTGTAATTCTCCCCCTTAGGTTTCCTACTGAAACCTAAAGTTGCCTCATCCTAGGCTCTTTTTCTGCTTATAAGCAGTGGCATTCCCAGGGTTACATACTAACACTTGATGACCTCTGATGAGTAAACGCATTTGATCACTAGTTCTTTCATTCAAATGAGTTCAGCTAGCTTCTTGTTTGGGTTGTAGGGGTGCCTTCCTTGTGTTCCACATTGAGATCAACCACAAGGCAAGGCTGCCTCAGAACTATTTGAAGTGCTCTGTAAAAACACATTTCCCTGTCCCACTGCATATGTGCCATACTGATATTTCTGGGAATACAGACTCAGGAATATTAATAACTCTTCAGGCAAACTATGGGGATAAGGTGTGTCCTGCACATAGCATATTTGCTTGTGATGACTGTGCTTACCTTGACAAGAACTTTCAGAAAAGATCTGATGTAGAACACAGCATTCACAAACCATCAGGTCCTGGAGAGGCTTTCTTCCTGTCTATGCTTCAACTGAATTTTCTTCTTAATTTAGCTCTTGCTATCAAGTTGCCAGTACACTGATGATTTATTTTTTCCCTTTGTTTCTCTTTGCTTTTGTTTGTTTTTAAGTAAAATGTAAATGCTTCATGCTCTGAGAGATAAGTCATTACTGATATTATTTTTCCAATCTGGGTTGGCCCAATCCTTGCCCTACTCTTTAATATGTCCTCACACTTCCTGTTCCAGCTTTATCCCTGTTGGCACTTTCTGCTCAATCTCCATACCCATTGCTTACCCATGCTGCCCACTCCTACAGTGGCTCATGATTTCATGTAACCATAGAGTATAGGCTTAAATGACATCTTTGGGCAGCATGTCTAACTTTGTCTGATGATGGATCCCTTTGAGAATCTGATAGCAATGGTAACAAGGATTCCTTTCCTCAGAAAAATGTCACAACAACATGGAAGATTTTGTATGGTGCTAAAAGTTCCTCAGGTCTACAGGGGCTCAATTGTGGTTGACTTTGAGGGATGCCAGTTCTGCCTCCCTCTGTGTCAGCTGTATCTCTAGAACACCCTTTATGAGGACAAATCACCTTCAGGCAGGCATGGCCAGTGATGCAATGTTAACTATCTCAGTGAGCTGCTGGACAGAAAATGACCTTCCCTGCAGAGCACCTCACAGTGGATGTGCCTGTTGATGTGCCTAGATGCTTTTTCCCTTGGAATGGTGGGGAAGGAGCACATCTCTTAAATTGTATTTAAAGTCAATGCCTTAAAATGCCTCTATATCCAGTTCTTTCTTTCAGCATGTGTTTATCTTTCCCTGACCTGGATATTTCTAATAAACATAAAACCTCGGTATATGTGCTACAGAATGCATAACAATAGCAAACCCCGCTGACCCTTTTAGCAGCCTCCTCTCTTTGTTCTTCCTCTTCTTCACACCAGAGTTTCTTTCTTCACTTGGTATTTCAACCTTCTCATCTCCCTCTGCAGAGAATCTCATCCCACTCAAACTTTAGTCATCTGAAGCTCAGCTGAGTGTGCCAACTTGACCAACGTAAAGTGTATTTTAGATGTTGCTGTGATGGGATTGATGTCAGAAATCAGTTAACTTCAATTCAGATTTTCCTAGATAATCTCATAACCTTGACTCAACCAGCTGAAAGATTTCAAGAGCAGCCAAAATTTTCCTAAGGAAGCTTCTGCCTGAGTTTCCCATCTGTCTTTCAGGTAGACTGCCCTGTGGACCTCGTACTTCTCAACTGGCCCCAAAATTTCATAAGACATAGCCTTCAATAAATCTTCCAAAATATAAGCATCTTGCTGGTTCTGCTTCTGAGGACAACCCCTGCCCAATGAGGAATGTTCTACAGAAACTACTTCAGTCAAGATACACAGAAGCCTCCATGCAGACAAAGCCACAGAGTCACTTCACTTTTCGTGCCCTGCCCTCACACAGTACTGGGGTAAAATAACAATTTACAGTTTTAAAATTCCCAGGTTTTCCTCCTTCTTCCGTTACTACACTTACTTCTTCTCAAGGCTGAGTTTCAGACCCTCTGGTATGTTTTGTCTACTTATCTGTGACTAAATTTACAGTGTGCCAAGAATTTTAGCAGCATCTACATGCTAGCCAATTCCTAGCCAGACCTCCAGAATCACATATGCAATTGTCTACTTGATATCATTCCTGCAAAGTATAACAAATATTTCAAATTGAGAAAGCAAAACTGGAAGTCTTAATTGCTCCTCACCTCATCACCTGCTCTCTCCAACCTCCTGTATGTCAGCGAATGGCACAAATATCTGCTTCCCAGGAGGCAGTCTTGCTACTTCTTCCCTGGAACATGGAGTCCTGTTGAGTGGGCTACACCTCAGAGTAGACCCAGTTACTTTCTCAAAAACAGGTCGAAAATATGTGAACTTCTCCTTGCTTTGTGAATGGAATCCTTTCTGACATGCCCCAGGGCCTCCAGTGTGAACCCCCTGCTGCATCTGTCATCCAAGCTCTTGTTTCACCCAGGTACCAAAGTGATCTTCACACATAAAAAAATGAAATTATACCATTTCCCTTCCTGATTCAACTGGAATGAAATCGTCTCCTCAATCAAAAGCCCCACTGAATGTTCCTTACCTACTTCTTCAACTTCCTTCTACTTTTATCTGGCCACATGGCCCTCTTGCTTTTCCTAAAATATGAAGAAATTTTGTATTTCAAGGACCTTGAATTTACCAAATGCCTTCCCCCAGAATTCACATGGTTCACTGCTCCTTTGGGTATAATTCTGAATTCTCATGTTACTTCTTCAAAAAAGAAGTTCACTCCAGCCTTCCCTCTAGACACACCTGTCCTATTTGTCGTGCACCCACCATTAACACATGGCTATATAATGTGTCTTTGTTTACTGTAAAACACAAACAAGAATTTCTATTGTTTATATATTCCCATCTGTTTGTTGTGAGCTTCCCCGAACCCCTGCATTTAAAATAAATTTAAAGGCATGAGGTAAAATTGTTTGACTATGAAGTGCCAGAACCTAAAAACCACCAATAACTACTTGTAAACATTCATTGGTGGGTAAACTCTTTGATCAAGCCTCAGTCTCTCAGGTAACCAGGTGACTTGTGGATAAAGCAATTTTAGTTCATATGGAATTGATTTTGCTTCTATGGGCTTAACAAATCTTCTCAAAATTTTATCTGAATGAGATCCTAAAGATTAGTAAGAATTTACAGGTCTATAATTTCTTAAGACATGAACCTTTATCATTTTGGACAAGTTAGCATACTCATTCTTTCATTTATATCCTAATTTATTCAGTCAGTTGTCACTGTTTAGCAGTTAGTATATTAGCTTAGCAGCATGCAAAGCCCTATAGATACAAGAAAAATGAAGGTCTTATTTTGAACCTTTATAAGTCTTATGTTTGTACTTTGAAGCACCTTCTAAAAATTGTAATTTATTAATTCTGCAATTGTTTATCTGATATCTGTCTCCTCGACCTTGACCCTAACTTTTGCAAAGGCTGTGCAGGGCCTGTTGGGAGTCCCCAAGCCCAGCAGCGCATTGAGCCTATAATGTATAAGCAGTAAGTATGTGTTAAATGTTAAATGTGTTAAAACTGGCATGGGGTCACAACCGTGTGACAAAACACAGGGACTAGAAGGGCATGTGGAGACTGTTGGCACACAGAATGAGTCAGACACTGTCATCCACTTTAGCTCATCTCCGCATTTGGATAGCTGCCCTCTGACATTAAGCCCCAGACAGTGTAGGAGGTGATGCAGGAAGGCTGGATGACTGTGTCGTTTTGCTCTGCCTACTGCACAGGGGCAAGGCAGAGGAAGTGTGAGACGAAGATATTTACAGGAAGATATTTCAGCACTGTAAAATAGAACTCATCTGGCTGGTAGAATAAAGTCATCGAAGTCATCAGATAGCCCTCATGCCTTCCCAGCCTCCCTTGGGTGTCAGCTCCCTGCTAAGGAAGTCCATCCTCTCAAGTCCATCCTCTCCTGTTTGGAAAGCATCCTCCTTATGCGAGAATTAAAATAGGAGCTGAGGCGTTTCACTGTCTCTCCCTCAGTCATTTGCCAGGACATGGAAGCTTTCATTTTGTTCGTTCTCGTGTATGTGTGTGTGTGTGTGTGTGTGTGTGTGTGTGTGTGTGTATGTGTGTGTTAATTCAAATAAAGCTTAAATGTCTCATATTGTAGGTTTCTTTTGCAAGCCCTAGTTATTCAATACTGCTTATTCTACATACTGTGAGCCTTCTCTGGCCCATCTCTAGTAAAGTTCGTCTGTTAACTTTTCTGGCTTGTCACTCCAGGAGCTGTTCTAACAGTTTCTCGGTTTTCTAGAACCTTCTAAGAGGGGAACAGTGACAGGTTCCCATATGGAAGAACCAATACTTCTGGAGATTTTCAGTATCCCACCCCATATTTCCTGCATCTTCCATGT